ATGGTCCGCAGATAGTTCCCTCTAAGGTGCGCACCTGGGCGGCCGCACACAAGAGAATGAAGGCTCCACTAATTAGGTGCCTGGAGAAGATGCACATGTAAGGTGAGGTGGTAGCTTTGGGGGGAATAGGGGGCAGTGGGGTGAGAAGAGGGGGTGGGGGAATTTGCAGGGCTCCGGCAGCCAGAGAAAGAAGTGACTTTCACCAGCTCCAGGGAGAGATGGCCCTCCTTCCCAGCCCCAGCTCAGGGGGCTGCCACTGTGGGGGAAAGAGGGCACATCCATCGCATTAGAAAGCTAAGACTACTGATATTAAAATATAAGTCGTGTGCTTTTATTTGTAGAACAAAAAAACATTATTAAGGTTTTTTTATACAGAACTTTTATCCAAAGCGCTTTACAATAGTTAGATAACAGTACAAACAACATTTGGAAAGATCATTAAGTGGTCTGCCGAGACCCTCAGCAATTTTCAAGTGGTCCACAAAAAAAAGTTTGAGAACCAACTGGTCTAGGATACAGCAGCTATGCTCCTGTAGCACTTCTAAAGGGAAAGCAGTGGACGTGTTTTTCCTTGACTTTAGCAAAGCTTTTGACACTGTCTCCCACAGCTTTCTTGCCAGCAAGTTAAAGAAGTATGGGCTGGATGAATGGACTATAAGGTGAATAGAAAGCTGGCTAGATTGTCGGGCTCAACGGGTAGTGTGATCAATGGCTCCATGTCTAGTTGGCAGCTGGTATCAAGTGGAGTGCCCCAAGGGTCGGTCCTGGGGCCAGTTGTGTTCAATATCTTCATAAATGATCTGGAGGATGGTGTGGATTGCACCCTCAGGAAGTTTGCAGATGACACTAAACTGGGAGGAGAGGTAGATATGCTGGAGGATAGGGATAGGATACATAGGGACCTAGACAAATTGGAGGATTGAGCCAAAAGAAATCTGATGAGGTTCAACAAGGACAAGTGCCGAGTCCTGCACTTAGGACGGAAGAATCCAATGCACCGCTACAGACTAGGGACCGAATGGCTAGGCAGCAGTTCTGCAGAAAAGGACCTAGGGGTTACAGTGGACGAGAAGCTGGATATGAGTCAACAGTGTGCCCTTGTTGCCAAGAAGGCCAATAGCATTTTGGGATGTATAAGTAGGGGCATTGCCAGCAGATCGAGGGACGTGATCGTTCCCCTCTATTCGACATTGGTGAGGCCTCATCTGGAGTACTGTGTCCCGTTTTGGGCCCCACACTACAAGAAGGATGTGGAAAAATTGGAAAGAGTCCAGCGGAGGGCAACAAAAATGATTAGGGGACTGGAACACGTGAGTTATGAGGAGAGGCTGAGGGAACTGGGGATGTTTAGTCTACGGAAGAGAAGAACAAGGGGGGATTTGATAGCTGCTTTCAACTACCTGAAAGGGGGTTCCAAAGAGGATGGCTCTAGACTGTTCTCAGTGGTAGCTGATGACAGGACAAGGAGTAATGGTCTCAAGTTGCAGTGGGGGAGGTTTAGGTTGGAGATTAGGAAAAACTTTTTCACTAGGAGGGTGGTGAAACACTGGAATGCGTTACCTAGGGAGGTGGTGGAATCTCCTTCCTTAGAAGTTTTTAAGGTCAGGCTTAACAAAGCCCTGGCTGGGATGATTTAATTGGGGATCGGTCCTGCTTTGAGCAGGGGGTTGGACTAGATGACCTCCTGAGGTCCCTTCCAACCCTGATATTCTATGATTCTATGATTATGTAGATGTACCCTTGATGGGCTAGAAGCTGTTAAGATTTATTTAATTTATTATAGGAAGCTACCTACTTACTGAATATTTAGATAAAACATTTGGTTTTCTTGGCTGGACTCATTTGGGAGCAGCAAATATATCAGAAAACCTGTGTGACTGTGTCCCCCACTACTGTGTTTATCGTGCATATCTGGTATTGCACAACAGTAAGAAGCTGCTCTTAGATTGCATGGAGATCTCTCAGGTAGAAAACAGCCTGCCTGCTAATAAACTAATGTTGCAGATCATTTGAACCACTTGAATGTGACAAAAAAATGGACACACTCTTAAATCATATCTATTCACTTTTGGCATATTTGCAGTGGTCTATCATCTGATCTGTTGTAGGCTGTTCAACAGCTCTTATGGAAAATTTTGTACTGGGTATAAAAATGTGGGGATAAGGATGTGAATCAGATGAACATTTGTCTTCTGTTAATATATGTAGAGTTAATGACATTAAAATCAATTATACAGGGGAAAAAAAACTAATGGGGCTTTCAGAAATAGCTTCTGTCTCTAACTTAAGATCCTATTACAGGTGTAGTGGACACTGGATAAAATACAGACAAATCTATGGTTTCAGGTTTATGAACATGTTAATTAAAATCAATCTCTACTACATTAAACATGACTTCTTCAGTTCAGAGAACTACTTGTGACTGTACTAGAAATATGAAATAAACTGGGTGCTCACTTCACTAAATTGCATAAAGGAACTTATGAGTTACTATACCAAATCAAACCAATATGCCAGGGGCCAGTGGCAGATACTTCAAAAGAAGATGAAAAAAACAAACAGTCCCTAATTGTCTAATTAGGGTTTAACTTACAACTAGAGAAAGTGTCTTCCTTATCCCTTGTCAATTAGAAGTTGGCTCATTCCTAAAGCATAAAATCCTATCCACCATAATTGTGGATAATTTCAGTCATAAATATGTAATCCTTTTTTGAATTCTATGACACCTTTGTTCTCAATATATTGTGGCAACGAGTTCCATAGATAAGTCCTACATTATGTAAATGACTTTCCTTTCAGCTGTACATAATATAATTCTTATGAGAAAATGTTAATGGAAGTGCTTGCTCTCATGTCTGCATTCCATTCCTTATTTTGTAGGCATGTCTATGCCTCATTTTCCCTATTGATAAAATAAGGATAATGATATTTATCTCCTCTGTAAAATGCTCTGAGATCTACTGATGAAAAGCACCATATAAGAGCTGGGTATTATTATCACTATGTCCCCATTTATTCATCTCTGTAAACCAGGAGTGGCTAAACTTACTGACCCGCCGAACTGCATACAATAATCTTCAGAAGTTCGGGCACCGCAAGACATGCAACCTGTCCCGCAGGGCAGCACCTGCTAGAGTGTGGGGGTTCTGCCCTGATCTCCCCCCCCGGTTAAAGCCTTTAGACCCTCGCTCCCTGCAGGACAGAAGGCCCTAGTCTGCCGCAGGGCAGGAAGCCCTGAGCTCCCAGTCCGGTAGCCGGAGAATAGGAGGATATGTGGGGGAGCTCACACTTTAACTGTAATAGAGCCACATGTGGCTCACAAGCCACAGTTTGGCCCTTCCGGCTCTAAACAGCCCCAAACTGTACAACTGCTTCATACAAAACTGTTTCCACATCTCATATTTTCATCTCCCATCTCTGAACCTCATCTGTTTCCTCCATTAAAATATTCAGAATAAACTTCCAATTCATTTATGTCATAGAAGGGTCCATTTTCTCACAGTGCACAAGGGATTAATGTGCATACTATCCAATGTGACACCAACAGAACCAGGTGAATTCCTCAGGTCTCACGAGTACATTATATATAGCATCATTCATCTGAAACCTTCAAGAACCTTTAAGATTGTTATTTAGCATTAGCTGCAACTTAGCAGGCATCCCAGTAACAGAAAAAAGTGTTGGTCAATGGCAGAACGTTTTATTAACTAGCCTCACAAAGTATCATATCTAATGGAGTATTTTAGGGTTTGTCTACAAGGGGACACTCAGGAAAATTAATCCAAAGTAACTAAAAGTGTGAATTTAAAGTCCATTAGTTAAATCTGTATGGACAGTCTCATTCAAAATTAAAGTGGCCTTAAATCAGTTTAGTTTAAATTAGTGAATTAAACTAAACTGAATTAAGGCCACTTTAATTCTAAATGAGAATGTCCACACAGGGGTTTAAGGCAGTTTAACTAATTCACTTTTAATTCTTATTTTTAGTTTATCTGGATTAACTATAGAAAAGCCCTTAGTTATGAGTGAATACTGACTACAGGGTTAGAAATGCCACAAAGTTTCATTATTACCACCATTTATAGAGCACAGTAAGTATGTCTTTTCCTGTGTTTTAAGTGCCAATGTCTCTGCTCCATTTATATACCAAGCTGAAATTTATATCTAGGTAATTTTTAAGAGCAAATCCCAAAGAAATTACCTCTTAACATCCCTTAAATACATAAGGATTTAATAAAATAATTTCAGTAATTAAAAATTAAAATATTAAATATCCTGATTTTTTAAAATCAGTTTAAAGAATTAATTTTATATAGGAGATGGGGGGGAAAAACAATTGGTGATAGGTATAAGTATCAGATGGTTGTAATAGATACATTAAAAAAGGAGGTTTGAAGTTATTTATGTCAATTTAAAAACTGCTGGACATTGGGGTTGCAAAAACTTAGCCAAGCTAAGAGAAAAATTGTATTGTGTAAAATGAAAGCAGGATGTAGAAAACTGGTGCAGGAAATGTACTGCTTGCATTGCAAAGACTGGGGGAGCTCCTGTGCATCACTGTTTTGTGGAGGCACCAATGGAGTGCCTTGCTGTTGATGTGCTGGGCCTTTGCCAGAGACAGGGGCTGTCAGTGACTCTGTAGCAACTGTACTTTTAAAAGCTGCATACAGAATTATGACTAGAAATGAATACACATATGAACCTTCCAGAGTTAGGATGAAATGCTAAGACCTTAGTTCTGCTAGCTACAGAAACAGCTGCAAAATCCTCGGACTATCAAATATATAATCAAAATTGAGCTGCCTGTGTGTGAAGAGTTAACTCCTGTCGCAAAAGAAATTGCTTCAGTACTATCCCCCACAAACCTAATCCGCTACAAAAACCCTCATCGAAAGCAGAGAGAAATAAGCCAAACACCAAGAATAAAAGGGGTTTTCACATGCTGAAAAAATGTTACAAAATGTCAAAAACTGCTATTTACAAAAGGAAGCATGTCATGCTTAAGAATCAATAACAGTAACTTTATTAAAGCAGTTGGACCCAAAACAAATTATTTATTGTCAATATATAAAGTGAACTAAGTATTGCTGTCTATGTACAACAAAAGATGTTGAGCAAATTCAGGCTATGGTTTCGTGCCCTGAAATTAGTTAAGGAAATAGATTTGGACTGTGACATTATTATGTGATACAAATGTACACAGTATAATTGCACAAAATCTATTCACAAGAACAGAACTTTCCTTGGGTTCCTTACTTACAAAGGGAAGGAAAAACCATCTACTGTGAATATTGAAAAACTGTCACCTGTTACCTGGTAAAACTACTGTAGGTTTTTCCCCCCTAAACAATCAGATTTAGCAGTGTATCTAGACATTCTGTACACTAATTTCTAAAACAAATCACTGATCAGCACAATATCAGAATGAATCTAGGCTCAGATTTCATAAAACAAATTTTCAAGCTCATTTGGCAGTTAGCTTGAAATATTATGTTAATGTTTTTTTCACAGCCCAGAGGAAGTTGCCTTCCTCCTTTAAGGCACAAGGGCTTGTTTAACGCTCTCTGGAACACGACTCGCATAGTAGTCAAAGTTTTTCAGCGTGGCAAGGACTCCTGCTGAATTCATGTGTTTCACCTCCTTGTTATAATGAAAAGGATTTCCATGGATATCAGTCAACTTGCCTACAAGAAATATATGAATGTGTTATTGGTCCCAGTTAATTTAAGCACAGCAGCTGAATTTTTCCTGAAATAGAACACCTACTGGTTCTCTCTTCCTTTGAATCATAGTTGTTACAGATAGATGTAGAAGATCAAGTCTTTTATATTTGCAATGGCAAGATACAAACTCCTGACACGATATTAAACCAATACTATACTTGATCTTAGTGGCTAGAAGAACCCTCTTACACATTAAGATGGGCAGCAGAAAAGGTCGACCACCACCACTGATCTAAAGTTAATTCATATTTATTCAAACAAGCCTTTTCATAACTTATATTTTCACCAAGGCACAGTGGCTTTATGCTATTTGTAGGGTAGTGATTTTACTGGGTTACACATTGGATTAATTCAAATATGGAGCCAAATCCTGCAGCTCCGAGCAAGGACTACAGGATTTGGCCAACAGTTTTGTTGTTTTTGAAGAATTATAAGATGCCCTCCGTACACACAGTGAGCATATACAGAAAACAAATGAAAAATTGCAGTAATTGGGAAAAGGCCTCGTTGTATAGGAAAACAATAAAACAGCAAAGAAAGCTGTCAGTTGGAAAATAGTAGTAGTAAAACCGATGTGTTTTAAAAGGAATGTTTTTTGTATTACCTCAAAATTAGTAACTGTATTGGGTCTTGAATAAAAGCAGACAAGGTAAATTATACTGCCTTCTACTGGCAAATCCAGGGTCTGATCCAAAGCCCACTGTAGTCAATGGGAATTGTTCCACTGATTTCAAAGGGCTTTGGATCAGGTCTTTAGTGCTTAAGGGTGGTGCTTTGTTTTGTTCTTAAATATATACACAGGCTTTTAGGTCAAGAAGTTATCTGCCAATAATGGGCATAATGGAACTCACCTTGGTCCTATGAAAATATATCATATGACCTACCTTGTGCACATAAACATTAGAAAAATCTACTGTAACTTCAACTTCTTTCAAAAAAGAGTTATGAACATTATTGTTAACTCACCTCCCACAGCATGTAAAATAGCCTCGGGAGCACACGTATCCCACTTCTTGCACCCAGGACTAGCAAACACATAAGCAGAAGCCTTGCCTTCTATAAGCTGAATGATCTATTACAGATGAAAAATGTCAGTCATTTCGTATCACCCCCAAGCATGCAAAAGATAGAACAGGAGTTCAATGGGAGTAGAATTGGGTCAGTTTGATACTGCACACACTCTGATGGCCTCACCAGAAAGAGGAGTCTCAAAGGCTCCTCTTCCGGTTTTAAAAATTTAATAATCTTAAAAGTCTACAAAAAAACATAGCTGTTACCATCCAAAGTGATCCATTTTTCATTGTCTCAAATATAATCTATAGGAAGCAAATCTAGACCTTGGCATCCAACTCATGTATCTTGGCTGGATGCTGAGGAGATCTGCCTGGGTGAATGGAGAGGAAACAATCCTCACATGCCGATAAGGCAGAGGTGGGCAAACTACGGCCCGTGGGCCGGATCCAGCCCCTCAGGGCTTTGGATCAGGCCCGCGGGATTGCCCCCCATGGTGCCGCAGGCCCCGCACCACTCTCAGAAGCGGCCGGCACCACATCCCTGGGGCCCTGGAGGGGTGGAGGTGGGGCCAGAGGGCTCCATGCATTGCCCTTGCCACCAGGCACCACCCCCCGCAGCTCCCATTGGCCGGGAACGGGCAACCACGGCCAATGGGAGCTTTGGGAGAGGTACCTGGAGGCGTGGAAAGGGCAGCGCGCGGAACCCTGTGCCTCCCCCTCTCCCAGGGGCCGTGCAGGGACGTCGTGCCGGCTGCTTCCCGGAGCATCGTGGCATAGGGCCAGGGCAGGCACGCAGGGAGATTGCCCTGGCCCCGGTGCGCACTGCTGCCACCCCGGAGCCGCTTTAGGTAAGTGGCGCCAGGCCGGAGCCTGAACCCCTCCTGCATCCCCACCCCCCAACTCTCCTGCGCCCTAACCCCCTGCCCTGAGCTCCCTCCCACAGTCCGGACTCCTCCTGCACCCCTGCCCTAAGCCCCATCCTGCACTCCGCACCCCTCCTGCGCCTCAGCCCCCTTCCCTGAGCCCCCTCATACACCCTGCCCTGAGCCTGTTCCTGCACACCCCACCCCCTCCCACACCCCGCACTCCCTCCCGCACCCCAACCCCCTTCCCCCGGCCCTGCATACAATTTCCCCAACCAGATGCGGCCCTTGGCCCAAAAAGTTTGCCCACCACTGCTATAAGGCCTTTCTAGCCCTATTGCACACTTTCATATGGGTTGGGTAAGAGGACCAGAGGCTCCAAGTGGTTACAGATATTCCACCCCTTCCTTCTCCCCCAAACAACCCCTGCATGTTGCTCGGCAAGGAGCCCCAAGAGCACTGGACTCCACAATATGGAGCGGGGGAGCATTCCCTGTATCTATATCTCCACCAAATCCTGCCCCACCTCTTCAGGCACCAGTTCCACTGCCAGGCGTCCCTTTGCACCTAGTGAGATAAGGATGACATTTGGCCCTAAATTCTTTGCTCTCTTTACAAAGATGTCATATCTTACAACTAGCAAAGAAAAATATTGGATTGTCATACCTTATTTCCTGCACCTCCAACTCTCACCACACTATCAGGGTTCATTGCACTAATGCAATCATTTACCAGCTTATTGCTGTGTGAACGGGTAGTAGTGATGATGTGTTTCCCAGCTGGCACTTCTTTCAGCTGAAATCCAAAGGCACCCAAACCTAGGACACCCCAGATTGTCCTACCCAGCACGGCATCTGCTCCTGCCTACACAGAAGATGCAAAAAACAAGGCTTACAGTTACCACAAAATACCACTTCATATTTTTTAAAAAATATGAACACAAAGGAATAGCTGGAGACATTTTATTTCATTATTAGGAAAAGCTGGAGACATTTTATTTCATTATTAGATTCATTTTAGAGGGTAAAAGTGTAAATTGTGGCAATGGAAAAGAAGTGAGTTCTAGTAACAGAAACACAGGGCAGGAAGCCAGGACTCCTGGGTTCTGTTCCCAGCTAACTGAATGACAAATTGTGTGACCTTGAGCAAGTTATTTAGCTTGGGCAGGTCTCTGTGCTTTAGTTCACTCGACTGTAAAATGGGGATAATAATTCTTCCTTATCCACCTTATAGGGTCTTTGTGATAATGGATTAAGTTTGTAAATCTCTTTGAAATCCTTGCATCAGATATTACAGAACTGAAAAGTATCCTCATAATTATTTCAGTGTAATATACCAACTATGAGCTTTTCTTTGCTTTGCCCAATCCTAATCAGCTCCCATTCTGTGTCCTTGGATTGTCCCTGAATTTTGCTATTCTGGTGTTATAGTTAATCCTCTTCATCCCCCATTTTGGAGGGAGGGACGTATGGGACTGGGTTTGGTAACATTCTGTAACTCAGCTGCAACTAACTGTGGTTAGGTCTATAATACAGGCTGGGGGTGTAATTCCCGTGGGTGCGTACATGTACTTGCACTAGTTCTCATTAAGCAAGCATGAGTATAAATAGCAGTGTTGTTGCGACAGAAAGGGTAGCGGGAGTGGAGTCACAGGGGAGCCGTGGTGGGTACAAACCCGTCTGAAACCAGCAGGTACGTACTTGGGACTGCTAAGCCATGCCTCTGCTGCCGCTATCTGTGCTACTGTGGCTATGTGTACGCATGCCGGGGAATCACACCCAGAGCTCATAGTGTAGACAAAGCCAGAGAAACACCTGGTGCCTTCTAAGGCCCAGCTTAATGATGTCCCAGGATTCAGTCATCAAGTGGCATTAAGTGGAGTGGTTGGCATCTCCCTGTGAATCTAAACAGGTCACTTCTGCAATGCATCCAAGAACCACCAGCCTGGAGCAAGATATCATAGGTTTTACACTCATGTGACAGGCTAGCTACAATATGTGTAATGCCTTGTTACCAAAAAGGGTGGAGAGCTGTTGCAGTTATTTGCATGTCCTTGGAATTCATTTCCAAGAAACTATCATCAACAAGCACACAGATCAATAGTTCCTTATATTAGACCATTAGCTCTAGCTAGTGAAGTGTGGTATGTATTATAGGTCAAGCACTGTTGAGCAGAAAGTGTGTGAACTAGAATTGTGTCCTAGAAGTGACAGTTACAGATTATTTAGTGCTCGCAAGCAAAATCAATGCATTTATTACCTCATAGTTGTAGAAGGGCTGGTTAATAACTCCTGCTATTGCTTTACCTTCATAAGCAATTCCAATAAGAACTGTTACATGGTCAAGGAGACCTGTGAAGAAGTAATAATTATTCAGTAATGCTTGAAAATGGGAGTAAGGAAAAAAAACCCCAGCCCTCATGCAAACCCACAATCCTCTATCTTTGTTCAATTATTTGAAAATATTTATAATGGCCAAGATTGGCAAAAGTCACTAGTTATTGTGGATGCCTTCATTTTTAGTTGCTCAACTTGAGACAATTTGATACTCTTGAGCAATCCGTATTCTGAAAAATAAGACCCTGTTAAGATGTCTCAAATTGGATGCCCAAAACTCGAGGCGTCCAAAAATTACTAGTCACTTTTGACAATCTGAGCCAACATGCATATTTAATATTAGGAAGACTCTGGTGAGAAAAAAAATTCTATCACTACATAGTACTATGTAAATAACATACATATAAACCACAGGCCTGAATCGGCAAGCGCTTGGTAGTAAACAGTAGTGCCAATTGTGCCAGATGTTATACAGGCCCACAATTAAAAAAAACAAAAAAATTCCCTGCCACAAAGAGTTCACAGTCTTGCTTAGGACAAGATGCCACAGGAGGATACAGTAGTGGCACTGCAGATTTTTTCAGAGAAGCCTAATAAGTGCCTGCCGGATTGGACCCCAGTGTTCTACAAAAAATAAAATTTACTTCCATGATAAAAGTAATTATGTTGTTTTAAAAGAATGACGTAAATACAGTAGTAACATCTGTGTGTTTTCAATGATGCGGACACAAATATTGTAGGATCATACAAGTTTAGGTCTTTCCTATCTCTAATTCATTGATCTTTCCCCTTGCAAAGAAAAGCCAGAGAGACAATGTATCAGATAGTAAAAGATTACTATTAATAAAAGCCATTTAAGGCATATCCAAAGCAAACGTATGTAAAAGAAAAGAAAAGGCCCCAATCCTGTGAAGTGTTGAATACCCTCAACTCCCATGGAAATCAAAGGTAGTGGAAGGCACTCAGGATGTTGCTAGGTTTGAGCTGGTGCCTAATGTGAATAAAATCTCATACAAGTTATGAAATGGGATTACAGGAGTCATAACAACTGTAAAAAAAAAAAAATCTTATACAAATGTTTTGTCAAGGAAGACACTTTTGGAGACTCTAATGATCTTAGCTGAAAACTTTATGTGGAACTGTAACTGGGTGTCTGCAGGCAAGTACCAACAGAGCATTTAGTAGAAAATATACACTGTAGAAGAAACAGCGTAATTCCAGTGTGGGCTTCTAGAAATGTCATGAGTCAGGAAAGCAGAGCTCAAATTGTTTATATGGACAAGAGAACTCTAAAACAGTGCCAGGAAAACCACTTAGTGACAAATCCTTCTTTGCCCAACAAACCTAAGTGACATTTTCTTTTTCAGATACGAAGCATTTAAGAAATCCTGCTTATTCCTGACTTGTAAGCAGGATCCAAATGTATGCATTACATGCCCATCTAACCAAAAAAATTCTGACTTTGAGTCTGACCCTTCTAAATGACTTCACTACCCACACTTTTCTAGTTCAGTGGTTCTCCAGGCCTCTTGTTCTGCAGGCCACTTTGTAAGTGGGAGATCACCGCGTTATAAAAATTAAAGATAGAAAAGAACTATTATGTCACCTAGTCCTTCCCCTGCCAGTGAAGATGGTTCCTTACAGTATATTTCTAGTGCTATGACCAGTCTAACATAAAAAAATGCTCACAAAATCCTTTCCCTCCCAACATTTTCTATCTATTCTGATGGACTCTGCACACTACAGTTTGATAAGCTTCTAGAATGTTCTAGCAATTTTCATGTTACTTTTATTAAACTGAAATAATTTTTCAAATCAGTACAAATATGCAAAAGAGAAGCCAACCTTCCGTGTATTCTTTGGTCCCATCCAGAGGATCAACCCACACAACAAGCTAAAAAAAAAAAAAATGCACACAACACAAGAGGAAACACAAACCACGGAAATTAAACTATTGGTATAATAGTTAGCAGCAGTGAGAGGAGGATAAACCTCACAATGGTTAAGAAATCTTACACTTAACGTGCAAAAAGAATGACATTCATGTTCATAAATGTTTATTATATATAGGGCTGGACAGCTCCAGGGATTTGTAAAGAGATATCAGACTTTTCACCAGCTATTTAGCTGGCTATGTAATGTGGATTTGGTGAGCTCAATCCATTTTGCACACAAAGATGTCCACATTTAAAACCTAACATCAACCCACCACCGCTTGCACTAATTAGCAATGCTGCTTGCAGTCTCAGTAGAGATGTCAAGGATTGAATGAGAGTGCTGTAAACTTGTCTCTCTCACCAACTGAAGATATTACCTTGCACACCTTGTGTCCCTAATATTCTGGGACCAACATGACTACAACAACACTGCATAAAAGGAGTCAATGGGCATGGAAACTAAACTACCCTCTCACTCCTAAAGGCGGTCCCTTTAGTATAGATCTGATACACATTCATGGGACATTACAGAGAAACCTGCAGTTCTGCTACCCATGCCACACCCATTCTGTGGATATTTAGGGGCTTCCATTTTTAGGGCTGTCACTTTGTCACCTTCAATTTAAAAAGGAAGTATTTTCACTTAAACCAAAAGATAAGCTGACAACATCAAAATTATCTGTTTTATTTCTTGGATCTTAGGTAAGACTAATAAGCTATATGGGAATGTAAGAAAGTAAGTGTAAAATTTTTATTACCTCTTCTTCTTTAATGGAACTGTATTGTGGTGGAAAAGCTTTCTTCAGTATTTCCTCACATTGACCTTCCTCAATCAACTCCTCATCTACATCATGAGAGGGCAGGTCCTGACAAAAGGACACAAAGACACTAACGGAAACAGGCAACAGCCAGAGAGCACTTTGTGTGAGCCTTTGCAGCTCCCAAATATGGTTCCATTCCTAGCACTGCAAATACAGCGGAGCAAAGTGATACAGCCACTCCCTAGGTTTTAGTCACATGCCAGCCTTTTCCTTTATCCCAGGTTAACTTGGCCTGGTTGCAGGCGTGAGAGTGGGATTTGCCTTCCAATCACTGGATTTGCTGGCTATTCCCTCAGCGTTAGCCTCATCAGATGAAGGGGAATTGGGAAGGAAGATAAAAATTAAAGAGAACACATGGCTCTCTTAAGCCTGAAAATGACAAATGTAAATCATAAGTAGCAAATTACATTTTCAGGATGTTAGATGAACAGAGTTCTCACCTCTTCTCCAATGATTGTCACTCGGGGGAATTTCCGTGCCAGTGAAGAGCAAATAGTCATCTGTACCAGTCGGTCGGCTTTGGTCTGCAAGTCGTTGGGTCCACACTGCAAAGGACGGGAAGGAATTATTCTACTTTAAAACAACACAGTGGCCTGTATCACACTGATCATGGATATCCAGTTCCTAGTGCAGAAGGATCCATGTCACAGAAATCACCATCCCAGTTAACCAACTTGAGAGAAGCCAAGGACTGAATAGGTCATTAAGACTGAGTTTTCTCTCTTATCATCCATCTCAGGAGTGAAATACATTGGTAGGGCAGTGTGAGGAAGCTTGTTCCAATGCTGCATGTGTTGTACCTTCTCTGTGGATTCAGCACAAAACATCCTTATTTTGTATGATAACATTCATACAAGTATACCACACTTCACAGAGCCAAGTAGTACATTTATCAAGTTAAATAAACATAAGAAGAGAAGGAGAGAGAAATTAAAAGACATAAATAAGGGGAAAAATGTTTTGGCATGCTACTGAAAAGACAGCAAGTTGAAGAGGCAGGAGCTGCAGAGAAGAGGGCTGTTATGCCAGCTGTGAGCTGATGTATGGAAGGACACTGAGAGGAAAGGTGCTAAACAAGCAAAGGGATGTAAAAAAAAAAAAAAAGGGAGAAGGGCTTGGTAGTAAAGAGGAGGGATCTTTCATTCTTCAGGTTGTGTGCATGCAACTCACACAGAAGGCAATGGGAGTGAACGTATGCAGTTTATGGGATGGTCAGGTCCAAGAGGGCGATTTTTTTGGACTGGATCTTGGAAAAATTAGGGAGGCATTAGTTGTTTGAAGATGTTTATACATATGAGGAGACAAGTGGCATTCTGCACATGTTGATGTCTAGGGAGCTGTTCCTTGGGAAGGCCAAAAGAGAAGGAAGTTGCTATAACTTCTGTTAGTGTTGTCAGTTTGCATTATTCAGAAGCACAAGGTTTCCACTATAAAAACTGACTGCTTAGGAAAATGCAGCTACTTACAACTGCTTGGATAAATGGCTCACTCAGAAATAACTTTTTACAACCACAAAAAGGTGAGAATGCTACTCTCAAATGTATTTTCATTACATTTTCCTGTACGTCAAATTTCTTAAAGAATAATAACATGAAATTTATTTATTATTATAATACAATGAAATTTTGATTCACTGCATAAAGCCAAAAATAATTAATCTTATTCATGTATAGATACAGACTTCGCAGGATAGGGGCCATGATATTTTGTGGAAAAGCTTTCTTTTTAATTTATAAGGAATTTATAGATAAAATGGATGTAACTTTTTTTTTTTTTTTTTTTAAAAACAGTCTGCAGACATTTTCCACATCCCACAAACCACTGAAGTCTAAGGATCACTCACATAATGGTCTAGCAAAGGCCAGGCTACTAAAGTGCAAGTTAGCAGCACTGTCTTTTTGTATAGTTTTTGAACTAATATTAAACAAGATGAGGAAAGTTATAATGATAATCACATTTACTAAAATAATTCCCTTGACATTGTTCTTAATTATTTTGTAGCACTTGGCTTTCTATGATTATTGGGGGGCGGGGAGGAGACCTTTATTGGTTTATCAGTTTTTTTGTTGAGTATTGCTGTTCCAATATAGGTCTAAAGCCTGTAATCCTTGCACATGCAAAACTCCCATTGACAGACTTCAGTGAGAATAAGGATTTCAGGATTTGGTTCATAGAATCACAAGAGTTAGAGACAGAAGAGACCTTTTAGGCCATCCAGTCCATCTCCCTGCCAGCGAAGAGAGGAAAGTTGATTTTGTGACTGAGGCCCTGGACTGGGACACAAGCGATTTGAATTTATCGTGGATCCTTGGACAGGTCACTAATCTCTCTGAGCCTCAGTTCCCCCATCTGGAAAATGGCGTTAATAACCCTACCTCACATCCTTTCTTCTTGTCTATTAGATTATATACTCTTCAGGGTAGGGATATCCCTTATTAGGCACGTACAGTGCCTAGCACAATGGAGCCTAGTCTTGGCTGGAGCCTCTAGGCATTATTATAATATAAATAATAATTATCCAAGACTGTCCCAATCAGAGGTTGGGAGAAGAGAAGAGTAGCAAAGATTGCCAGCCCATCACAGCAGGCAGAGGATCCTGGGATAAAGAAGATGGGGAGACAAAAGCCATCTTTCAACACCCTGAAGTGGAAACAGGTGGAGCTTCAAGTTTATGTGACACCTAGTGACCAGAACAAATATGAAAGTTGGAACGTCTTAGCATGATCTAGCAACAGCATCCTGACAGGAAATCCAGCAGGGAAGAGGTAGGGATGGGAGAGGTCAGTAAAAAAGAAGATGGCCTACCAATGACAACCAGGGATAATGCAATGGACTTCTCTCCACTGCATTATCCCTGGTTGTCATTCATAGGCCCTCTTCTTTTTTACTGACCTCTAGCTAGTAGATTTATTTCTCTGACTAGCAGGTGTCTAATAAATATTTCATTATCAACAAAATGAGTCAAACAGGATTCTTTGTAAAGTCATATATACCAAAGGAGTGAGAGAAGAGGCTGGGATCAAGTTAGACCAGAGGTCCCCAAACTGTTGGAAGCGGAAGAACATTCAGGGGTGTGCAGCTGGGGCCCGGGCCAGCCCCCATGGAGGGCAGGGAGGGGAGAGACACCCGGCACCACTCCTGTCCCCAGCTGTGGCCCCAGCCTCGGCTCCCTTGCCCCGTCTGTGTCCCCCCCTCTCCCAGAGTTGTGGGGGAGGGGACACAGACAAGGGTAAAGGGGGGCATGAGGTAGAAAGCTTTGGGGACTTTTACATTTAAAAAAGAAAAAGGTAAGATAGAAGAGTAACAAGAAGGGAGGCAATGACATTAAAAGATCAAAAAGAAAAAAAGTCTGTTAACTAGGGCCTACTTCTGGTGCATATTATATTTCTTAGGCTTCAAATGCACTTTATGCTAAGACTCATAGTAATTGAATTAGAACACACATATTTATTACATGATACCAGGAGTAAGATGATTGCGTGATAGCATTACCAAGCTCTGGATCTATGACTTATTGTGGTTACGATAACTAAGCACATTACTAGAACATTGAAAGAACTTGCAATTAGACTTGAATAGGATATATTTTCTCTTTCAAATGAAAAAAAAAAACCCCAAAAAAGCATAAACAAAGCATTCAAAGACTAACCATTAAATCAAAATCACTCTGTTATAAAATATTTACACCTTTTTTTTTAATTGAGGATGCTCTATTGCGTGCTAGGGGAAAAGAGAAACAGAAAAGGAAAAAGCTGTAAGAACATTTAGAGAAATCACTGAAATAAGATACAGCAGCCTGGCAACTGCTGTCAGTTGGGTAACACTCCAGGAGACCAGGATTCTGTGGGGAGAGAGTTGGTTATTGCACCTTATATAAAATGCTACAACAAGATTAGAGATAGGGCCAAGATGGGGTTCCGGCCAATGGGAGCTGGTGGGGGCATTACCTGCAGGCAAGAGTGGAGCGTGGAGCCTAGGACCCGGACCCGCTGGCTGTTTCCAGGTCACGCACAGCATGGGTGCCAGGACAGGCAGGCAGCCTGCCTTAGCCCCCATGCTACGCTGCTGTCTGAGGTAAACCCATGCCCCAACCCCAAACCCCAACCCTCAGCCCCCCCTAATCGGTAGCACCCTCCTGAACCCCAAACTCCTCACCCCCATCCCCACCCCAGAGCCAGCACCCCCTCCTGTACCCCAACCACCTGCATCAACCCGAAGTCCCCTCCCACACTCCAAGTCCCTCATTTCTGGCTCCACCCTAGAATCCACATCCCCAGTTAGAGCCCACACCCCAACCCCCACCCTAGCCCAGTGAAAGTCAGTGAGGGTGGGGGAGAGCAACGCACCAAGGGAGGGGGAATGTAGTGAGTGGGGACCGGGGCTTGGGACAGGGGCAGGGCTAGAGTGTTCAGTTTTGTGCAAAGTTGGGAACCCTATGGGGCTCCAATAGGCCCTGTACTTCCAACCCTACCCTCAGGATTGGGGCCCCCATGACCCAGGGGTCCTGTCCATTTGCTGGATCAGGAAGAACAACCTGAGCCAGATAAAACCAGGCTATTTATCCAAATATCCTTTTCTTTGTCTGTTGGTCCCTGGAGAATCCAGTTTGAATTCATATATGCCAACCTCTCCAGGAGGTGGCTTCAAAGGATGGACAACAAAGGATGGACATTAACAACCCCCTCCTCCTAGAGGAGTTACATACAACTCCACAATAACACACAACTGCATTTTGAATATAATGGTCACCAAAGGTATTAAACCTAATTCAATAAAGTATGCCAGGATATTGTCAGTCTGTCGCAGCACTCCCTCCCCCCAGTTGTGTGGAAGCTGTCTGATCTTCAGAAAGAACTCCTTGGGCTGTTTTTAATTCATTGTTCTTAACAGACATGAGATCAGTATGAAGGAAAATAAGTACCTTCTCCACTATGCCCAGGTCTCCGCCAGCTACCACATTTCTGACGATCGTTCCAGCTCTGTGCGCAACAGAATACGCAGAGGCCATTAGGCGCATCAGCACAGTTGGAGAAGAAGCCATATCAAGTGCTGAAGAGAATCAAAAAGCGATCTTGTGAATGAGAACTACACATCATGATTTCATGTATTAACATTCAAGGGAAGGTTAGGTTATGCTAGAAGGAGAGTTTGGAGTGTTATTTATATAAAGGTAAAACCTTTTGTGGTAGCTGATTGGAAAGGGGATACTGAACTAATCTGGGTAAGTAGGAGACTTTTCAATTAAATTATTACAAGTTTGGGGATAGAAGGTCACTCAAGTAATGAAAAGTTCAGATAACCAAGGTCTGACTGTAGTCCTATGTTAACAGAGTGGAAGGCAGTAATTTTTGTAGTTTACAGTGTGACATGGATGCAAAAAAGGGTTGCATAATGAGAGGCATTGCATCATGAAGCAGAGGCGGTAATCCTTCTCTAGATGACTCTTGTAGGTGAATTTACCCTCTCCTAGCTCCTTGGTTGCAGGAACTAGCAGTTTCTCTATCTTCCCTCCTTGTTCCTGCAACCTCACATTTCCCTTCACTTTCTCTCTCCTAGCCTCTCCACCGTTACCCTGTTCCCCATTCTCCCTCCCACTTCTCTTATCTCCAATCACCCTCTTTGCCCTCAACTTCTCACTGCCCCTATTTCCCTGCTCTTTATTCCCCGTCTATGTTCTCCACATTCCCCTCCCTTATTCTCTTTCTTTCCTCTCCATCTCTCACACTACACACACATTCCTACCCCCTCACTTCACTAAAAGGATACTTCTAACTTTCTGACGCTGGCTAAATCTTGATGTATCCTGAGCAGAAGTGGCTAGTAATGCTAAGTGTCTAGTATATAGAGTTTTATGGATTTCAATAAAATACCATGTAGAAATGGGGGAAAAAAAACCCTGAAACAAAACAACCCAGTATAGTCTGATAACTTTACTGACAATACTAAATGTGCAATTCTCGTTTTGAAACCTAAAGTCATGTAAATTACCCAGATTAATGCCAAAATTACATCAGATTATAGCCCTTCACTTCTGACTTGAACACTATCAGGCATGCTCTTGTAGTTAAAGCACAGGAAGAGTAGGAATTAGGATTCCTCAGCTCTATTTCTGGATCACTTATTGATTTCCTGTAGAAACCTGATTAAATCATTTAATTTGCCTATGCATCATTTTCCTTATCTGAAACATATGAATAATAATACTTTCCTGAGTCTTAGGGGTGTTGTGAGGTTTAATTAATCAGCAAAGTGCTTTGCAGTCCTTTGATGGAAAGCACATTTATAATAATTGCCTTGTTTTGTCAAAGAGGATGGATAAAAATTGACTTTTTTTTAAATCAGATTTTTTTATTTAAATTAAACATACATTTAAAAAAATCTATTTAAAATTAAATTTGAACATGACCATCTATGTTAAAGCCTAAATTTATTATAATTTATTAAAATATTTCAAATTAAATAAAAAATATTAAGCAGTACATGTTGGCTGCCAAGTTTTTAAAAGTCGAACCACAGAACTAGTAGATGCCACTGGCTAAGCACTTGAAACCAGAGTCTGTTGAATTGCGAAACCAGCTTTCAACCAGCAGTAGCCTTTTCTGCAAATGCAAAGAGAATATTTTCTTCACTTCCATTTATTCAACTAGTTCAGTTCAACAACTAGTTCATTCAAAGTTAAGAAACCAATAGGAGTTGGAAAAGCAAGAAAGTGTGTTTTCCTCTTCCAATCTATGAATAAAAAGTAGGTGTGAGAAGATGAGAGTTCTGAAGTCTTGAAGGACATGGTTACCAGAAACAATCAGTTCAATTTCACAAACTACAGATAATAAATCCTTCCTTTGTTTAATAAATCAGTTTTAAACTCCCCCCTTATGTATTCATCTACATTAAATCATTTTATTTACCTAATAAACTATTTGAAAATGCTATTTTGGAGCATTTTCAATTGAATTCCAATTTCCACCCAAACAGAGCTTAACACAAATCGCTAGCAAAAATATTAATAACCTGTTAAATAAGAAATGCATCATTCACCATTTTCTAACAAACAATATAAAAATCAACTTATAATTGCTTAAATAAAAGTGTATGCATATAGCACATGTATGCGTATATGCTCTTGGTTAGCAAATTTAGCACGAAGGCTGTATTTAGTTGCAAATCAGCATATTTTAATGATTACCAACAAATGAGAATCAACCTTTCTTTAGGAAACTAACTAAAAAGTACAAATGCAAAACAAAGTTTCCTGCTTACTGATTTAAATTATGATTAAAATTGATTTACATAAATTCACCCTGTTAACAACTTAAGTGCCTTTTTACCAATTCTCTCTTATTTGCATTCCATTCATTCTGTGCACAGAGAGTAAGTGTTGCAGCTTTAGCAATGATATGCCATATCTTCATAAATAACAAAAGTTTCACTGCCTGCTTTTAGTGCAAACAGAAATCAAACACAAATATGGAGTCATATTTGGCACCTACATCACTTTGATTTAAGTCAGTGTTTCCCAAACTTGGGACGCCACTTGTTCAGGGAAAGCCTCTGGCGGGCCGGGCCGGTTTGTTTACCTGCCGCATCCGCAGGTTCAGCCGATCGTGGCTCCCACTGGCTGCGGTTCGCTGTGCCTGGCCCCTGGGGGCTGCAGGAAGCGGAGGCCGGTACGTCCCTTGGTCCGCACCGCTTCCCGCAGCCCCCATTGCCCTGGAGCGGCGAACCGCGGACAGTGGGAGCCGCGATCGGCTGAACCTGCGGACACGGCAGGTAAACAAACCAGCCCAGCCCACCAGGGGCTTTCCCTGAATAAGCGGCGTCCTAAGTTTGGGAAACACCGATTTAAGTCAAGCTACCCTGTTAAATTAAATGCCTTTTTTTCTAGTTCTCTCTCAATTTGAGTTCCAAGTGACAAACAGTCTTTAAATTGCGTCCTTCCCAGGCACCCCTCAGGTTGAGAAGGATTAGGTGGGACTCTCTTTAGAATCTGTCATTGTCACTTCTTAATCAGCTGCTTCCTTCCAGAGCCTCCACAGCATATCCAGTCACCGCCAGCCCCAAGAGCAAGAGACCAAGTTTGGCATGTCTAACGAAGATCTCACATGGGACCACAGAGCATGACTACTAAGCCACTGGGTTGCCTCTTTTGTTAAAGATGTAATACTAGACTATTATTACTAATCCTACATAAGTTTGATTTTGGAGGGTATTTAGCTGGAAGATGTGGTCAGAATGACTGAGGCTAAAGTCTGACTCTTGCTGCAGCTGCTTTTGAGAATTAGGTCTATAGGACTTGAAGCCTTTGGTAACTTAAATTAATATCTATAAAATGGCTAAGATGTCAATTTTTAACATATGTGACATGTAGCACTCACTGCCTCAGGATATTATTGACGCAAATATTATTATTTACTGAGCTCTCTTACTGCATCTAGTACTATGGAAAACATACAAGAAGACAAAGTGACTATTGCAAGAAGCTCAGAGTCTGAGGCTGTGATCTTGGAGTTCCACTGAATTAAGTGGGCTCTATGTGGGCATAGGGGTCTCCCCACATGTAGCAGCTTGCAGGAGTGGGCCCTAAAGTTACACAGACAGTACATCTGAAAGACAAAATACACCACATAGTGAAAATGAAGGTGCATTCTCTTTAAATCTCTCTCTAGTGGATTCTTGCTGAAAAGCTTTGAGGAAGAAATGTGTCTTAATGAGTTTGTATTGTTTTTTAATAAGGTCATTTGTCACTCAGTAACATTTACACCACCGATTAGGTATCTACATTACTAAGAATAGCAGCTACAGTTGATTAGCTAAAATGAATTTACACAGAAAATGATCAGCAACTGGGGTCAGGATTAATTTTGCTCCATGGCACCAGTCTTACATAGTTAGGTTCATCAGAATCAAAGGACTTAGGTGCATCATGAATTGTGGCTATGGATTATTTATTCACCCACGTAGTTGTTGTTGGGGCATTTGATGAGTTGGATGAGGTACATCTCATGTTGGGACAGGTATTAGTAGGACCCCTGGATCTTGAAAGGTGTGTTGTGGGAGGACCATGTGTGCTGGTAGCGGTACAGCAGCAACTATATGGATGAAACCAGACAATCGCTGTGCTCTCAAATGAACTCACACAGAAAAATGATAAAAGACAAAAAACACCATCACCCGTAGGCAAACTCTTTCCACAGAACTATCGCTCCATATCTAAACTCTCAGCCCTCATCTTCAAACAAGATCTTCACAACACCTTCAAAAGATGAGCCTAGGAATTGAAATTCATAACTCTGCTGGACACTAAAAACCATGGTCTTAACAGAGACACTGCTTTTATGGCTCATTACAACACTCTGGGCTTGTACACACTACCACTTATGTTGATATAACTTATGTCGCTCTGGGGGGTGGCTTATTCACACCCAAGTGATGTAAGTTACGCCAACCTAAGCACCGGTGTGGACAGCACTATATCACACTATGTCCTGCCAAAGTAGCTCCACCTCTCATGGAGGTTGTTTTATCATGCTGACGGGAGAGTTCTCTTCTGTCGGCATAAAGTGTCTTTACCAGACGGGCTGCACTGTAGGCAGTACTTCTAGAGTAGACTAGCCCTTTGTAGCTTACTAACCCAACTTTGTTCTACAACTGCTAAGGAGTTAATTGCCCACTTCATTTTAATTGGTCTCCCCCAACACCTGTTAACTTCTTTCAGAGTAGCAGCCATGTTAGTCTGTATCCGCAAAAAGAAAAGGAGTACTTGTGGCACCTTAGAGACTAATGAACTTATTTGAGCATAAGCTTTCGTGAGCTACAGCCCACTTCATCAGATGCATGCAGTGGAAAATACAGTGGGGAGATTTTATATACACAGAGAACATGAAACAATGGGTGTTACCATACACACTGTAACAAGAGTGATCAGGAAAGGTGAGCTATTACCAGCAGGAGAGAAAAAAACCTTTTGTAGTGATAATCAAGGTGGGCCATTTCCAGCAGTTGACAAGAACGTGCCATGTACATTGGCCAAACCGGACAGTCTCTATGTAAAAGAATAAATGGACACAAATCAGATGTCAAGAATTATAACATTCAGAAACCAGTCGGAGAACACTTCAGTCTCTCTGGTTACTCGATTACAGACCTAAAAGTGGCAATTCTTCAACAGAAAAACTTCAAAAATAGACTCCAGTGAGAGACTGCTGAATTGGAATTAATTTGTAAACTGGACACCATTAAATTAGGCTTGAATAAAGACTGGGAGTGGATGTATCATTACACAAAGTAAAACTATTTCCCCATGTTTATTTTTCCCTCCTACTGTTCCTCACACATTCTTGTCAACTGCTAGAAATGGCCCACCTTGATTATCGCTACAAAAGGTTTTTTTTCCTCTCCTGCTGGTAATAGCTCACCTTATCTGATCACTCTTGTTACAGTGTGTATGGTAACACCCATTGTTTCACGTTCTCTGTGTATATAAAATCTCCCCACTGCATTTTCCACTGAATGCAGCCAACGAAGTGAGCTGAAGCTCACGAAAGCTTATGCTCAGATATACTTGTTAACTTCTTGTGCTTAACAATCTGTCCCACCTTGTATTTAGTTGTGACACCTTGGTTACCTTTTCTAGATCCGAGGAAGAGCTCTGCGAAGCCTAAAAGTTGTTGGTGGAAAGGACAAGAAGTTGGTCCCGTAAAAGATATTACCTCATCCACTTTGTCTCACATATCCTGGGACCAACACTGCCCAAACAACACACAAAACCATTTATACCAGTTTAGCTTGCACCCGTAAATTTACTGAAACAAGATAAACCAACATATGCCAGGTTTAACAGGGACGTTCAAATCACTTTAAGTTTTGCACTGATTTAATGGAATTGATGTAAAAAATACACTTTTAGTTATATGTGTCTCTTTGCCTGCACAGACCAGGCCAAAGACTCTCACTGTGTTAACATCACCTCAGCTGAACTGGTATTGGCACACACGTGCATAAAGCCCAAAGCCTGGACACTCCTATGCACGTGCTTAACTTTACTCCTGTGGGTAGTCTCATTGGGCTCATAATGGTATGTCTGCAGTATCAGGGCCTAGTTTTGTAAAATTGTAAATTTTGAAAAATCTGTAGAGACGGCTTTTGGGTGGCAAACCCACCATATGCTCAGATGTGTCTCGTTCTTGTTGTATCCACTGAAGTAATCGGTTGTGTTATAAGGGAGAACAAAAACCCTACTTCGTTTGGTGTGGCTGGTTCACTTTCTTACCCTCTTCCTTGTTCTCAGCAATATCCATTCCAGTTTTGCTTCAATTGAGCAATAACCTACACTTGTTTAAAGAGACACTGCTGAAGGTAGTAGCCCGTAACATAGTTTTTTTTTCCTTTTATGCTTCCAAAAATCTCTGTAATGTATAGATAGTTTGCTCCTCCACTATGAAAATAAATTCCTTCAATTTCCCCCCCATCCCTTTAAAATGAATGTTTTTGAAAAAAAAATCAGCAACAGCCTTCCACTCATGAGCGGTTCTAGAACAACAAACCAGTGCGAAAAGATGATTGAGGAAAAATATCTTATGCTGAACTTTTAAAAAGGATTTATTTTAGGTTTTTTATCACTTTTAATTGATCTAACATAGTTTTACCTTTATTTTTAAACAGCAAAGAACTCCCCCCTTAAAATAATTCCTTTACCCCCACATACTAAAGCAGATACTAATAAAGCAACTGAAATAGTCAACCGAATTATTTCTGTCTTGTGCTTTTCCAGGTGGAATCCGGGCTTAAAAATCTCATACATATGTGCATTGACTATTCTCACTTGTATGATTGTCTTAGCAAACAGAATTAGAATAGAGAGAACCCCTTAAAATCACAAGGCACGTGGATACACAACAAACAACGCGGTTTATGAAAACATTTAACTGTCTTTCATGCACAATTGTTCCTTTTTTCTCCCATCAGAAATCCCTCCTCGTCCTGGAAATTTTCCTCCCCCATTGATAAGTTTCACACGCTGACACATATGTAACTGGTATATATGAGACACAGACCCTGGATAAAGAATAAAATACCTGTGGTTCAACTGGCAGCAACGAAAGCAGGCTACTTCCTCCGTGCAGTACCCTGCCTGCTCCTTCCTTTTCACCCAGTAACCCTCCTACTCCTCCAAAACTTCCTGGGTCCTAACGTTCACCCTTTGCAACACTTGGCGGCAGCAGCGCCATGCAGCTGAGCCACCCAGAGGACGCGCATGGGTGATTTCATGGGCTCATTAGTCCCTGCCGCCCCGGGGGCGCCCAACATTCTAGCCCGCCCCCCTTCCGCAGAGAGAGAGGGAGAGAGAAACGCCTTTCAAGGCGGCGTGTCCCTCCCCGCGGCCCGTCCCGCCCTCGCCGCTCTCCGTAGCCGAGCCGGAAGCGCCGCCGGAGCGCGCGGCGAGAGCTGGGGGAGGCCGCGAAGATGTTGTGGGCGCGGAGGGCGCCCTCCTTAGCCAGGCGCGGGGCCCCGGCGGGGGCCGCGTGGGGCTGGGCGCGCTCGGCAGCCTCCGGGGCCAAGAGCGGGCTGCCGAGCTCGGAGAGCCGCGCGGACTCCAAGTACCGGGAGACGGTGCTGCTGCCTCGCAGCCGCTTCCCCGCCCAGCTGCCGGGCAGGCTGCAGCCCGAGGCCGAGGTGGAGATACAGCAGGTACCGCGCGCAGGAGCCCGCGGGGTTCGTGGGGAGCTGTCCTGCTCGGCACCGTCCATCCGCGTGGCCTGCAGCCCCCCAGCATTGGACTGTGCGGCCAGGGGGATTCATGTTGTTCCCTCTTCTCTCAGCGAGCGGTTTCTAATGAGTCTGGCTTAGCCCTGGAGGGTGATCTGTGTCACAAAGCCCCACCCGTAGAACATTTGACGCACACGTTACAACCCGTCACTAACAGGAGACCCGAGTAATATCCCTGCTAGAAGATGCGTTTATGATTGTTCACTAGTGCAGCCCTGCGCTTACGGGAGAAATGGTAAAACAAATGGTCAACCTGCAGTTGTTTAACGCACCAGTTCTCAACTTGGGGCCACCTGGGGAGGCTGCAAGCAGTTTTTGGGGGGTCCGCCAAGCAGGGCTGGCATTAGACTCACTGAGGCCCAAAGCAGAAAGCCAAAGCCCCGCCATGCAGGGCTGAAGATTGAGGCCCCGAGCCCCGCCACCTAGGGCAGAAGCCGAAGCCTGAACAACTTAGCATTGCGGGGCCCTCTGTGGTGTGGGGCCCCAGCAGTTGTCCTGCTTGCTGTCCCCGAATGCTGGCTCTGGCTTTTATATGCAGAAAAACAGTCTTTGTGGCACAGGTGGGCCCTGGAGTTTTTAATAGCATGTTGGGGCCTCAGGAAAAAAAGGGTTGAGAACCTTCTTAAAACGTGCAGTCACAAGAGCTTCCTACAAACCTGTCTCCCTATCAGTTTAGTCCATCTTGAGTTAGTGGTTGAGGAAGACAGAAGATTTTGGTTCATAAAGCTTGATGAATATTAAACATGAACCAGATGTGTCCCTGGTGTTGTTTTGATTTCAGTGGAGTTATATCAAGAACAAATCTGGTCAAATAAGTGGTCTATTTAATGTAAGAAAACAGGCCTAATATTGTTAGCTTAGTAGTGGAGGTTGGCAAGTAATTTACAAGCTATTAAAACCCCAGAGAGGAGAGTCTTCACTTGAGGAGTTCGAGCAATTCTTCCTCTTAGTTTTTTGACTGTTGGAATGATGTTAAAATGAAAAGTTTTTTTGAACTACTAAAATGCAAGCATATAATGAATTAAATGTTTTCATATTGTCCATACAGAAATGTGGTTTTGCAGAACTATATTCATGGCAAAGACAAAGGAACACAAAGAATGAATTTTGTCTTCATGATGGGCCACCGTATGCCAATGGAGACCCTCATGTTGGTCACGCGTTAAATAAGGTAAGTATAAGAGTAGTATGTTTAAGGTATTATATGCCTTCTGTAAGGTGCAGTGCACTCTCAATTCACATTGAAGTAAATGCAAGTTGAGAATATTCACTACTTTATAGGATAGGGCCCTTCATTTCTCTTTAACGGCTAAGCATATACAGTAACAATGAAAATAACAAATTGCTCTGTGTGGTACTTATAGTTTCACATTGGTATTCAGATGATAAACTTATTTTCATTCTGTCAAAGTAAATCCAGTTTCTACTTCGTCCCAGCAAACTGCTAGATGCATAGTTTGAGTATTGTGTGCATAGTGACTTCAGAAATATGTTACCATAATAAAATGAAAAGGAGTACTTGTGGCACCTTAGAGACTAACCAATTTATTTGAGCATGAGCTTTCGTGAGCTACAGCTTAAGTGAGCTGTAGCTCACGAAAGCTCATGCTCAAATAAATTGGTTAGTCTCTAAGGTGAGTACTAGTACTCACAAGTACTCCTTTTCTTTTTGCGAATACAGACTAACACGGCTGTTCCTCTGAAACCTGTCATAATAAAATGATAATTCCACTTCGTGTAACCCTCAAGCCCCTGTGTAGTTGCAAACTTTGGACTTCAGCTGTGCAAAATTTGGTTGTCCGTTGATCAAGAGGTTCTTATGATGTGCTATAACATGCAATAAGAAACATAAATGTGAAGGCTGAAACTTAATCTTTAACACTCCTGATTGTGCTTGGGTTTTGCAGAGTTCACCAAAATCAGTAAGACATCTGTATAAAAACAACAAGGAGTCTGGTGGCACCTTAAAGACTAACAGATTTATTTGGGCATAAGCTTTCGTGGGTAAAAAACCACTTCTTCAGGTGCCACCAGACTCCTTGTTGTTTTTGTGGATAGGACATCTGTATGTTACTTTATATATCAAGCTAATATGTAGGGGAATGAGGATAGTAATAACAATTATATCAAAAATAACATTTGGGTTTAAAATTTTTCCAGATTTTGAAAGACATCACTAATCGGTTCCATATGATGAGAGGTTATAAAGTGCACTTTGTACCAGGCTGGGATTGTCATGGGTTGCCCATTGAATTGAAAGCATTGTCAGAACTCAAAGAAACTCAAAATCTTTCACCGATGGAGGTTAGACAGAGAGGTAAACTGTCCTTTGCAAAATTTTCGTAGAAACATTTCTGACTTAAATAATTGTATTCTATAAGTTGTTTTTGAGTCTTCAGTGAAATATTATTTTGCTAGCTTTCTGTGTGTTTTCATTTTAGTTTCAGTACACTGAAATTTGTGAGGAACATCTTGGTTATTAGATGATACTTGATCTGCAAAATTCATAGTGTAAGCTTACAAGGAGGGTGACCTTTGTAAAGTGGGTTCATCAAGTACAAGTTTGTATGAACACATTGTAAGTTGTAATAACCATAGATGGAGAGAGGGAATTAAAGGTAATGTACATCTGGGATTCTAATGTAGTTCAGGTCTGTAACATGAAATTAGTATTGTATCCAATTTTTATTGAGGTTGTATGCTGAGTTGCTGAACCTAAAAAGAAAAATATCTTGGAAAAGAAGACTATTTTTTCCCCTAATGTTTTTGAACTAATCTGGATCGTTATGGGGATCAGGAACATGGGTAATTGTCATTGAATAGTTGTGTTTCCAATGGGGTAGCGCAGATTGGTTCTTGGCCCTAACATTTTATTAATAACCTAGAAGAAAACATAAAATCATCACTGATAAAGTTTGCAGATGACACAAATTGGGGGAATGATAAATAATGAAGAGGCCTGGTCGCTGATTCAGAGAAATCTGGATTGCTTGGTAAACTGGGAGCAAGCAAACAATATGTATTTTAACATGGCTAAAGGTATATACATCTAGAAGAATATAGAACATACCTGCAGGATGGGGGACTCTACCTGGGAAGCAGTGACTCTGGAAAAGACTTGGGGGTTGTGATGGATAATCAGCTTCATAAGGGCACCCATTGTGATGCTGTGGCCAAAATATCTAATGTGATCCTGGGATGCTGTCATAGATCCACAGGATTGATTTTATGGCCTCAGTTTTAGAACATTCTCTAGGAATCTGGGGTCTCAAGGGGTCTCACTCTTCCTCCAGGGTAAGTCCCATGATTTCACCACCTCCTTAGGCTGGACCTCTTTGCCATCAGCATGCCCGCTTCAGATGATGAGCTCTATTCAGTGAGTCCCACTGAGGCAGACTCTTGAAGGAGACTTGTACGTTCTGTGTGGATCAGTACATCATTGCAAGCATCTGTAATGCCATTCATACAGTGTTGTCAAAACAGAAGGGTTTATTAGTCGAATGGAGCACAACATAGAAAGTCTTTAGGTTAGCATGGAAAAATGAAGGTTAAAGCATAGTCTGTTCCGGGGAGCCCAGCCAAGCTGTAGTGAACCCAGGTTATTCAAGCTCTGTCTCTCCATCTATCCATTCTTCTTTGTTAGACTCCCAGGTGTATCCATAACTGCTTTCCTCAGCCAACATCTAACTTCCATTTCACACCAGCCCTTTCCCCCAGTCCTTTGTTCCTGAGCTAGGGAGATTCAGCTCTGCACGGTGCAGAGAGACAGGGAAGTCTGTATCTCTTTGGGTCCTTAGTTGCTAGGTGTCCATGTCCAGTCTGGATCTGCCATTGTTTTCTCAAGAGCTCCATTGATGTGGGACCTAAGGCCACAGACAACTGAGCACCATTCACACCTGTGTTTTAGCCTGTCCTGAGAGCAATCAGTCCCTTTGCTAGGTAACAATGCAGTATATAGGGGAAACAAAGGCACACATACACTTGATAAAAATATTACAAAAAAATTCCGCTTCATTACAGATACATAAATGGACAAATCTTCAATAGAAGTAGAGAGATTATTTTACCTCTGTATTTGTCACTGGTGGGACTGCTGCTGTCCAGTTCTGGTGCCCACAATTCAAGAAGAATGTTGATAAATTGGAGAGGGTTCAGAGAAGAGCCATGAGAGTGATTAAAGGATTTGGGGAAAAAAGCCTTTTAGTGATGGACTCAAATTGCTCAATCTGTTTTGCTTAACAAGGAGAAGGTTAACGGATGACTTGATTATAGTCTACCAGTATCTGCATGGGAAACAAATGTTTAATAATTGTCTGTTCTCTTTAGCAGAGAAAGGAATAATGTGATCCAGTTGCTGGAAGTTGAAGTTAGACAAATTCAGATTGGAAACATTTTTAACAATGAATGTAATTAACCATTGTAAATTTTGCCAAGGATTGCGGTGAAGTCTCCATCACTGACATTTTTTAAATCAAGATTTGCTGTTTTCTAAAAAATATCCTCTAGAAATTATTTTGGGGAAAGTCTATGGCCTGTGCT